ACTTTATTCTGGAATCGTTACTATTTCATAGAGAAGTAAATGCCACAGTTGGAACTGACTCAGCTGACCAGTGGGCTTTCAGATTATGCATCACAAGCAAGGAAATGTTAGGTGCTATCAAGCCCATTCCTTAAGTCACTATGTCAATCCATCTTTTGTCTTTCACTGACCCTCCCTCCAACTTCCCTAAAATGCCCAAATTCTAGGAAATTGCTCAAGGAACAGCTGGTATATTTTAACTATCAGCATTTGGGTTGACACCACAACTCTTCCCCTTCACGGACTAGGCCTCCCATTCCTCTATTCATGACCCATTTTAAAAGCTGCTTCCACTTTGATAGTGTACTTCTAGTAATGTACTGTAAAAAACCAGGTTTCTAATAGAGCCACAATCTACCTTCTAGATGGATCCCTGCCAGTCCCCATCCTTGAATCTCATCTGTCCACAGTGCTGGCATACAGTGGCAGGGGACTTCTATTGTGACATAACATCATTCAGAGGGCTCATTCTGACAGTTTCCTGTTAAGTGCAAGTACACTGCTAGGCCAGACTGGAAATATAGGGCAAACTGACAGTGATCATTACAAGATGCTTGTTTGGAGTTGTTAGGGATAACAAGTACATCTATTTAAAGAAAAGCAGAAATCCCCAAAGACTGAGGTCAGAGCTTTTAATACTCCTCTGGTGTTATTTAACATGTAGTTGGAAATTATCAGCTAAACAGAAGGAATTTTCTTAGCCACTTTGATGAATACAACAGTTTCCATTCTTGAGGGGCTTTGTCTCTAGACCCCGTAGTCCACCCATATTTATTTTTGAAGCAGCACACAACATAAAATGTACAGGGTGATTGAGAAATAAATAGTAACTAGCATTAAGTAAGCAATGTCTTTATTTTACTATTGCTAATTTAATAAAATTTAATTAAAAAAACAAAAACAAAAACACAAACCACCAAATGAGAAGAAAACTTTTCATTTTAGAAACTTGTGCTATTACCAAAGTACTTACACGTGTAATCAATTGCTAGGGTATGTATAGATGGTAAAAAAATCAGTAATCTATTAACTTAACCATGACAGAAAAATTGACTTTCAATCCTTCCTAGAAGGCAATCAAGGTTCCTCATCACTCCTGAAAATGAGGGGAGAAAAAAAACCACAAACCAAAAATCAGCACTTAAGACTCATTGAACAGCAAATGCTAAATTTCATTAAGACATGTTTCCTGCATGGTTTGTCTCCTCAGTCATTGTCCAGAGGACTCTGAGAAGCTGTAGGAATATGCAGGCGCGGACTCAAGGCCCAGCTTGATTT